CAACTTATTCACAAGTTGTCTTCACTCTCTTCAAGCTTGTCTACTTCTACTACTAGTGTTGCTAATGGAGGTACCACAATATGCATGGTTATTTAGTCTTCTTCGTCTTCTTAGATCATTGATTTAGGAGTTAGTGATCATATATCTGGTATGTTATCCCTATTCTCTAATTTTCGTGTGTCAAACTCACATACTGTGTTAGCTGATGATTCCTTTCGACCGACACATGGGACTGGCGATCTCAATCCCTGCCATTAGTTGATCGTTTGTTTATTCGTACTTTTCCCTTTAATTTGCTATATGTGATTCAGTTAACCAACTCCTTACAGTGTTTAGTAACCTTCTCTCCATCTTCTCGTGTTTTTTAGGATCTCAAGATGAAAAAGGTGATTGGTATAGAATATGAGCGCAATGGCCTTTATTACTTGGATTGTGAAAGTTCTTTTCCTGCCTTAAGTGCAATTGTGTTTCGTCTCCGGTGGCATTTTTGACTAGGTCATCCTTCATTGCACAAATTGCGTCAAGTCATCCTTGGTTTGAGTTCCTCTTCCATGTTAGAATATGAAGCTTGTCAACTAGGCAAGCATCACCGTAGCTCCTTTCCTCCTAACTCTTCAAGTCATTAATCAAGTCATTTTCATGTTATTCATACAGATATTTACGACCTGCAAGAGTTGAAAGTACTTCTAGTTTTTAGTATTTTGTAATCTTTGTTAATAATTTCTCTCGTATAACTTGGTTATTTCTTATGAAAGACCGATCTGAGTTACCCAAGGTCTTTATCACCTTTTATAATAAAAATTTGACTCAGTTTGGTGTTTGTATTAAAGTTTTTCGATATAATAATGCCCTTGAGTACACTCAATCATTTTATGAAAATCTTTTGCGCTGGCCGTAACATTATCCATCAAACTACCTATCCTCATACAAAATGGTGTTGCATCACGTCAACAACGTCATTTGTTGGATGTTGCCCGCATCTTGATGTTCAACATGCATGTGTCAAAACCATATTGGGATGATGTTGTACTTACTTCAGTTATCTTATTAATCGCATGTCTTCTCCATTTTGAACAACAAATCTCCCCTCTTGTTATTTTATCTTAATAAACTACCATTTAGTCTCACTCTCGTGTCTTGGTTATGTTGCATTTGTTCATCTCTTTGGTTTGGATAGGGATAAACTTTCGCCTTACTCAGTTAAGTATTTTTTTGGGATATTCTCATACTTGTAAAGATTATCATTGGTATGACCATGTTTCTTGTCAATACTATGTCAGTACTGATGTTATATTTTTTGAGTCATTCTCCTTCTTTTGTGAGTCAGGCGATACACTTTCCCCAGATATAGTATTTCCCAGTAAAAGGGGAGCCCTTGTTGCTTATTGTGTCAGACTGTGTATCTTCTTCCTCTCCAAATCATCCTCCTCCTCCCTTGCAGGTTTATCATCGGTCTAAGGACAAACAAGTTATTTTTCATATGCTCTAACTCCACAGCCAGCAGATGATTCTACTAAAGTCCTACCCTCTGAACTGTCAACTAGTTCATCATCTTATGATTTACCTATTGCATTAAGGAAAGATACTCATAATTGTACAAAGTATCTCATTTCTAATTTTGTTTCTTTAAATCCAATTTTACTATTCTTTCGTTGTTTTGCATCGATTCTGTTTTCGATATTTGTTCCTCAGGCAGTGATATCTCTAGGTTAAAAACTGGCTATAGATGAGGAAATGAAAGCCCTTAATGAGAATTAGACATAGGACTCTACTTCTCTTCCCTCCGATAAACAACCAGTCAGTTGTTATTGGGTATACACAATGAAGTATCATCCTAATGGGTCAGTTAAGCATATGAAGGCCCGTCTGATTGCCCGAACCTACACTCAAACATATGGTATGAATTACTATGAAACTTTCTCCCCTATTGCTCGTCTTAACTCTGTTAGAGTTCTTATTTCAGTTGTAATGAATTGTGATTGGCCTCCGTATCAACTGAACATCAAGAATGCTTTTGTGCATGGAGACCTGTAGGAGGATGTATATATGGTACATCCTCTAGGTTATGTTGTATCTGAGAAGAAGTAGTTAGTATGTCATCTAAAGAAAACCCTATATCATCTGAAGCAATCACCATGTGTTTGGTTTCTTAAGTACGATACTATTATACTTCAATATGGTTTAGGCATTCTACTTTAGATCATTCAGTTTTTATTCATCGTTCTTTCACGTGTTATTATTCTTATTGTGTACGTTGATGACATTATCATTAGCGGTGATGACTCAGATGGTATTACTCACTTTAAGATTCATTTGAGGAAGTAATTTCATTCCAAAGACCTAAGTCTTCTTTGTTATTTTCTTGGGATTGAAATTGCTCGATCAAAGGAATGTATCAGTTTGTGCCAACAGAAGTATATATTGGATTTATTGTTTGAAACTGATACTCTTAGTGCACATCTAGTAAATACTCTAATGGACTCCACAGTTAAGTTGAATGCTAATAGTTGTGAAGTTTTTGATGATATAAAGCATTATTGAAAGTTGGTTGGTAAGCTAATTTACCTTACAGTTATGCATCCTGATATTACCTGTTGTAGGAATAGTTAGTTAGTTCATGCATGTTTCTCGTAAGCCTCAATGACAGGTTATTTGTTGTATTCTTTGGTATCTGAAAGGAGCATTGGATAAAGGATTATTATATCATCCTTTATCTTTCATGATTGTTACTAATTTTTTTTTTATGTTGACTGGGTAGGTAGTAGTACTGAGAGAATCTATTTCAGGTTATTGTACATTTATTGGTGATAATCTTGTTACTTAGCGTAGCAAGAAACAAAATATTGTTACACATTAGAGTACAAAGGCTAAATATTGGGACATTACTCATACTACATGTAAAATGTTGTGGGTTCGTTCATTACTTTGTGATATGTGTATCGGTGTACCCTTTCCTATAAAGGTGCATTGTGATAACCAACAGCTATTTTCATTGTTAGCAATCAAGTGTTCCATGAGAGGACTAAACATATTGAAATAGATTGTCATTTTATTTGAGACCTCTTCATACGTAGGAAAATTATCACACAATACATCAAATCCAATGATCAACGGGGTGATATCCTTACAAAACCATAGACTTGATCCATCTTGAATAATCTTTGTTCCAAGATGGTCATTTTTTATCTTTATACTCCAACTTGAGGAAGAGTGTCAGAGTTCTTATTTGTATTATTAGTAGCGCAGGATAGTATTGTAATATCTGAGTATAGAGCAACATAGCCTATACAACTGATTCTTTCTCTCAATCTCTTTCTCCTCTCTCTCTTCCTCCCTTCTCTTCCTCAAAAACCCTAATATCAACTTTTCTTTTTAACTGACTAAAATACCCTTGGTTGAATTAAAAGAAAAAGGAAGCATTAAGACCTAACTCTGAATTAAATAAGAGAACATTCAAAAGGAGCTAAATTTTAGAGTGGTCCTATTCAACACCCCCCCCCCCCCCTCTTCCTTTTCTCCAGTACCATGGGCTTCAATAGCTTCTCATAAGAGTCCAGGATGTCAGAATTGACAGTTGACTGATCCCTACCCTTAGAAGTGCATTAGGAAGAACAGACTGGCTATCGATTTGCCAAGGATGATCATGAGTTATTCAATAACTAACCATTTTTTTCTTTAGCACCAATACATATTATGATGAGGAACCAATTAGGATTCCAATGCTTACTACTGCCTTTACTTTCTTAGGGATTTTTATGATGTATTAGGTTCTGTTTTGGTAGAAATCATCTTCCTTGTTAACATATTGAGCACAATCATGCTCACTATATTCAAAAACTTAAGTACTGCTTCACAGAAGTATACAACCATAGTCCCATGCTCCCATGCTCATCCCAGCAACTCTAAGTTATGATGCATTCTACATAATTAAGGTTGAATTTTTTTTTTCTTGCCTGTTGGTGTCTTTATGTATTCTGAAAGGATCAAAATATTGTACAAATTAGTGATAGGTGCAAAGAAACATGGAGAACGTAAGAAAGCATCCAATCCAATTGGCAATGAATAGAGAGGCCCCTGAATCATTTAACTAACTTTGAGTTGCCACAATCTTTCGACATGGGATACAAATTCTCTTCACAGCCTTCCTTATGTGCACTCATGTCAGCAAATGGGCTAGTAAATTGAACTAAAATAGACACATAAACCAACAAGAAAATTTAAATGGGGGAGAACTTGGCCCACTCATCACTCAAGGACAAGCTCTTATCCAATGTTAGAGGCATCCAACCAAAACCAATTGGTAATTGGTGGGAGATGCCCTTGAATTATATGGCCAACCTTAGATGGACCCAATGTTTCGATGTGCAATACAAGCTATATTCAAAGATAAAGCATAAATGCTTATTTTAAAGATAAAACAATTTGCAACCAAATTTAATGGGCAGCGCAACATGCAACGATCAAAAATTCATTCCATTCCGGTTGTTTCATCTGAAACACCTTGATTTTGGTAGACACAAAAAAGCAATTAATAATTGAAAATCAGACTAAAATGTCTCTAAATGTTCAGGGATATTTTAGGATATTTCAAAATCCAAAATTCCAATGTTTTGAAATCAAAATTGTTCCTTCATCTCCATTTTGTTTCCTTAACATTTCTGTTTCTAAGCTAACCGAAAAGGGATTTTCATCCTTGGCAACATGTGAACCAAACATATCCATGAAACAAAGGGATTGTAAGATTCAGTATTTTACTTGGCAAAGAATGGGTGGAACAGCGAGAAAAAAAAAAAGAAGAGAGACCAGGCAGCCAACCTAGGTCAAATTGAGGGGGTAAATGACTTCCGCCCTGTGACTCCAATCAGCATTGACAAAAAATATGCAACGACCAATTTTGAGTCCAGACAAGATTTTATTAGCAGGCTACTCACTGGGAAAAAATAATTTATTGGTAGGCTAATCTAGTAAAGTAATAATGAATGTCAGGGAAATGATAAAAATCAGCATAGTGCTTCTGAGTATGTACCTCTTAGACGATAAGCAACACTGAGATTTTGCATGAATGGATAAACAAGAATTCTTTCAGATCTGGTTGTACAAAATCCAATCAGCCGAAGAAGATTCCGATGTACTGCAACACTTATTAATTGAACTTCCCTCAGGAATGCAGCCTCCCCACCAGGACTATGATAATCCACGAGACGTTTCACAGCAACCTTTGTATTGTCTGGAAGAATGGCTTTGTAAACTTTACCAAAGCCACCTTGTCCAATTATATTGCTTTCACTGAAATTGTCAGTTGCAAGCTGCATTTCACGCCAGGTAAACTTTTTCAGTTGCCCAAAGGAGATTTTGCAGTCATCTTCACCTAGAATGACAAAATCAGAAAGCTAAATAAAAAAATCACAATGTTGTACAAACCAGAACTATAATCAGCTTATATAACCACGTCCGTCCTGAAGAAAAATTATATCAAAGAGAAAACAGACAATCAGCATGTTTAAAATGATGATTGACTACAAAGATAAGTTTCATTTTTAATTATGTGATCCAATTGTTAATATTTTTCCAATAGCAGTTCACACTGTTAAACTTGCAACTTGCAAGGACCATCTGCTGATAATAAATGCAAAAATTCATCAACTTATTTAAATTACGCATCCAATGAGGTGCTGAAGTGGACAAAACATGAAAAATAATGGAAGATTTTAGCTCCTAGTTATCAAAGAAATTGTTAGAGCAACCTACCCAAAAAAACATTAGCAATGTGTGGAGAGCCCCCACAACACCCAGTTCAAGTTTTGGAGGCGCTATATACCACTGTGGGAAAAGACCTAATACTCCTCGCACACGCTACTCCCGAGGCATGTGGATAGATAAGCATAAGATCTAAGAACAAGATAACAAGGCGCACGTTGGCCCAACATAAGGGGAACCCATACCAAATCATGAACTTGAAATAGAGTCTTGCTCAAAGCCTTACAAAAACCAGCTGACGCAAGGAGGGAAGCGAATGAAAGGGGATAATCAAATCCTCGCAAGGATTAGGTTAAGAAACACAATTCTTCGTACAGAAATTAATCAATTTATATTCATAAATCTAATTGATCTAAGTGGGATTACACCTTTATGTAGAGGTGGCAAATGGGTGGATTGGGTTGGTTATGGGTTGGATTAAATTGAGTTGGGTTAAAATAAAATTAATCCATTTTTCACTCATGTAGTAAATGGATTATAATGGGTTGGGTTGAACCCATTAACCCATAAAATAATTAAAATTTTTAATAGACACATTAGTACACCAATACACACACATTAGTAGTACACCAAAATACAAACATACACACACACTAATACACCAAAACACACACAAACTAATACATTAAAAATATACACACTAATACACCAAACACACACAAACTAATACATTAAAAATATACACACTAATACACAAAAAATACACACACAGACTAACACAAAATTTAAAACACATTTAATAAAAAAAATACACATATAACGGGCCGGGGTCGATTGTGGGCTATAAGTTGGTCCATGAGTCATTGGCTGATCATGGGTCGACCCGCGAGTCATGGGGCACAGGTTATAGATAGCCCATGGGTCATGGGTCAACCTGCATGTCATGGGTGGTGTATTAGTGTGTGTTTTTTATGTGCTAGTGTGCGTATGTTTTAGTGTATTAGTATATATGTATATATTTTTTGGTATAATAATGTGTTTATTTTTTGGTATATTAGTATATTTATTTAATTTTATTACTTATGTTATTTAATAAAATAAATAAATACTCAACCCAATGGGTACCTATTTATAATCCCTATTAATCCGTTTAATTAAAACGAATCATATTATCCAAACCATTTGGAACTTGTATTAATTAATATAGATACCCAACCCATTTATTTATGGGTAATGGGTTAAGATTGCCACCTCTACCATTATTGATAGGACAAGTGTCATACCCAAATAAAAAATACTCTCTAGCTAAAATTTTATCTAAATCTCCTAATGAGATGAATATTAGACAAATAATCTAACAAATAATAGAAATAAATAAAATTCTAATCTTCAAATTTATGCCTATCCAATCTCTTTACGATCCCTATCGGATTTCTCCGACTAAGACAAACTCTTCTTCGAAGAGTTGTAAGGACAAAAAGACTCCAAGAGATCTGAAGAAGCTTGTGTTCTAAAAAAATAAATCCCCAGATTAGAAAACAAATCCTTAATGCATTACATCCTTCATAGCTTTAGTCAAAATAGAAAAAGTGATAATAGAGTTAGGAGAAAAGAGAGAAGAGATAGAGAAAGAGAGAATAATCAATGTGTAGGTTTAGGTTGCCCCACGCTCTCTTGTTTAACTGTGTAATGTTAGAGTAATTACAATATTATCCTACACAAACTAACTTATGTCTAATATATAAAATAAGAACTCTAAGACTCCCTCTTAAGCTTGAGCATACAGATAAAAAATATCCAACCTAAAATATAAACTACTAAAGGCAGACCAAGCCAACGGCTTAGTACAAATATCACCAATAGCTCATTAATTGAAGCTACTTTTTGACAACTTTAAGCTTCTTTAGATTGTTTTATCTGGATTTCATTATTGCTTGCATGCGTATTACGTGTTTGCATAGTGCATATGTGATGTTCGAAACCACTGTTTTGATTTAGTATGAACCAAGTAACTTCGGAACCTCTCACTTCCTTATTGAACATCTGATCACCAGACTTGATATATGGAGTGATCTCCTTTTGCATCAAAATATCTCGACTGAAATGACAATCCACCTCAATATATTTGATATGCTCATGAAACACTAGATTACTTGCAATAAAAATATTTGTTCAATTGTTGCAATGCATCTTCATGAAAGACACATCAAGTCCCATGTCACGAAGTAAAGAGCAGAACCATAACATCTTATAAGTAGTATGTGTCATAGCAAGATACTCAGCCTTAACACTAGAATGCACAACCACATTTTGCTTCTTACTACGCCAAGTAACAAGATTACCACCAATAATGTGCAATACCCAAACGTAGATCGTTTATCGTCATAACTATCTGCCCTATCAACATCAGAATCACGAACAACAGTTATAAACAATGATGAACGATATAATAAATCCTTTCCTTGAGCCCATTTCAGATACCAAAATATACGGCAGACAGTCTTCCAATGAGGCTTACAAGGGACATACGTGTATTGACTAACCACACCAACGACATATGTGATATTAGACCGTGTAACTGTAAGATAAATCAGTTTACAAACCAATCGCCGATATTGCCCTATATCATCAAAGACTTCTCCACTCTCAGGACCTAGCTTAATCGTAGGGTCCATAGGCTTATCAATCGAATGTGCACCAAGAGTACTTGTTTCAACTGGTAAGTCTAGTACATACTTTCGTTGGCATAAACTAATATCCTCCTTTGAACCGGCAACCTCAATCCCTAAGAAGTACCTAAGAAGACCTAAGCCTTTGGTATGAAATTACTTCCCCAAATAGGTCTTGAAGTGAGCAGTACCATCTAAGTCATTCCCACTGATGATGATGTCATCGACATACACAATAACAATAATAATGTCTTCAACCGCTTAATAGAACCATCAGGATGATATTTCATAGTAAACACCCGATGACACCTAATAGGCTACTTCCGAAACAAAAGAGAAGTAAGGTCCTAAGTATGATTTTCATGAAGTACCTTAATTTTCTCATCCATAACCAGTTTCCATCCAGGAGATGTTAATGCCCATTTCAAAGAACTAAGAACAAGGATAGAAGACAAGGTGGATGCAAAACAACGAAATGAAGAGGAAAGTCGATGCAAAGAGACAAAATTAGAAATGAGATGTTGGGTATAAGTACGAGTACCTTTTCACAATGCAATAGGCAAATCAGGCAACTCAGGAGAAAGGACCTCAGTAGAATTAGGTATTGGTTGGGGTGCTAGAATATATGGAACAATCTGTCTATTTGTGGAACGACGATAAACTTACAATGGAGGGTAGAGAAGATACACCATCAAATACAAGAGGCAATATAAAGTCTCCTTGACTAGTAAAGATCAAATCTGGTGAAAGAGTAGTTTCTATATTAGAGAAAAAGAAGTTGACTCAAAAAAGGTGACATCGGTACAGATATAATAACTACGAGAGACACAGTCATTACAACGATAACCTTTATGAGTACGAGAGTATCTTAGAAAGACATACTTAATCAAACGAGGTGAAAGTTTATCTCGGTTTAGACTAAAAAGATAAACAAATGCAATACAACCAAATACACAAAGAGTCAGACCAAATGACGATGTATTAGGATAGAGCAAGGAGAACGAAAATTTGTTACCTAAGATAGGAGAAGACATCATATTAATAAGATAGACTGCGATGAGAACAACATTTGCCCAATAAGGTTTGGGAACATGCATGTTAAACATGAGGGAATGAACAACATCTAATACATGAAGATATTTACGTTCTACAATGTCAGTTTGTAGAGAGATATGAAGACAAGTGGTTTGATGGATAATAAAATGGTCAGCACAAAAGATTTTCATAAATGATTGAGTATACTCTGAATATTGTTAAATCAAAAAACTTTAATACAAACATCAAACTAAGTAAAAATTTCATTATAAAAGGTGGTAAAGACCTTAGGTAATACAAAACGGTCATTCATAAGAAATAAACAATTTATACGAGACAAATCATCAATAAATATCACGAAGTACTGAAACTCAAAAATACTTTTGACTCGTGTAGGACCCCAAATGTCTGTATGAACAATATAAAACAAACTAGAATAGCGATTTGAAAAACTAGGAAGAAAAGAACTATGGCAATGTTTCCCTAATTGACAAGCCTCACATTCAAACATATAAGAAGGACTAAAACCACGAATAACTTGTCATAACATTTTTCAATGAGGGATGACCCAATTGAAAGTGCCACTGAAGAGAAGACACGGTAACACTCAAGGCTGGAATAAAACCACCAGGATCAAGGTAGTAAAGACCATTTTTCTCATACCCCAAACCAATCACCTTATTCGTAATGAGGTCCTAAAAAACACAATAGGATGGAGAGAATATTACAAAACACTATAATGACTTAGTGAGTTGGCTCACAGATAACGAGTTAAAGGAAAAATTAGGATCAAACAAACCAAAAGTTAACGACATAAATTGTGTAGGACGAAGATCACCGGTCTCTCATGCACGGGTCGAAATGAGTCATCAGCCAACACAATACGTAAATTAGATGAAGAAAAATTAGAGAATAAGGAAGACATGCTAGACATATGAGCACTAGTCCCTAAATCAATAATCCAAGGTGACGAAGAAGGTTAAGCAGCCACACATGTAAAGTTACCTTCATTAGCAAGACTGGTAGTAGGAATAGAAAATTGTGAAGAAAGTAACGATAATTGTTGGATAAACTTATGAAGTTAAGAAGAAAAATAATCATGAGAATCAGTAATAGATATAATTGGACTATTGGTAACAGACAGATGTACTAGAGAGCTCGAAGTATCCATAGGAGCCTGATTAGCATAAGTTGGTCTCCCATATTTGTCCCAATAATAAGACTCAGTATGTCCTAGGTGACCACAATAAGTATAATTCCACTCAAAATGATGACCACAACCAAAACTACCATCACATCTATCACTCAAAGTAGTCATGGAAAACCCACAATAAATTAGGCAAAATATCGAACCAAAAAACAAAGCGATCCCTAATTGTGAATGTTGAGTCTAAATTTCAATCCCAAATCACATAACTATCACCCAAACTAGGTCTGGACAACACATATGACAACTCGGAAGCAAAAAAAAAAAAAAAACCAACACAATGCTGACACTTAATCAAACACTCCACGCAACAAAACAACAATCAAATAGGATTGGGTGCCTTAAAATCGTGAAGACATCTTAGATATGCACCAAATAGCCGAAGAACTGATCCGAAAAGCCATCACAAATCGACAATCACAATCTAAGCATAACCCAGAACTTTGAACAATTTCAGTTCTGTTTAGTAAAGAAATAATAATAGTCGAAACCCAAATCAACCACAAAAAATACATCTAAATCAGTCGAAGATAGTTGGGCATTGAAGACAAACAACATAAAACCTTAAAGGACACACGAAGGCCAAAAATAAGCAAATCCCAAAAACAACACCACCACCACCGGCTGGCCAAACTAAGCATACGCCTAAGAGAGTAAAAGGGAAACCAGTCACAAGCAACCAACCAGCCATGAAAACAAACTAGAAATATGCCAATGCAACAAACCATAAATAGCAACAAACATTGCAAATCGCATACGACCAAGAATCAGGGCTTCAACAAACACGAACGGGCCAAGGCAAAAATCAGATGACGCCAGAACAATAGTTAACCAGCTAAAGAGAAAACCCAGTCAGCCAAACACAGTCAAAGCATAGAACAGTCAGTTGAGCCCTAGATTTGCTCAAAAATCAACCCAAATCCACTCTAAATGCTTCAAATCACTTAATACATTGTTCATCATACCAAATCGCACCCCATTTACTAGATTAGATGGCCTTGAAATAAAAAAACAAAGCACATTATTTGGAAGCCCATAAAAAATTGAGCATGGTGATAGCCTCCACTGTCACAGAGTGATGACGTCATCTATGTTGATGACGTCATCTATGTTGATGACGTCCTCCCCTGTTTTCCTAGAAAATTTTCTGCCGACTTTATTAAATGTTTAGTTGTATTTAGAGATTATAAAATGCTCTGATACCAAATTAAAATAGAAAAAGTGATATTAGGGTTAGGAGAAAATAGAAAGAGATAATAATCAGTGTGTAGGTTTAGGTTGCCCAACACTCTCTTATTTAACTGTGTACTATTAGAGTAATTACAATATTAGTATAAACTAGCTTATGTTTAATATATAAAATAAGAACTCTAACAGTTTTATTTACATACACTAAAGTAACAACTCCATCTATAGTGACACCCTTTGAAACTTGTTTGACTTCATCTGTAGGAAGATCCTTTGAAGCTTGATCATTACTAACAATTAATATAGGATGAGGTAAAGAAATTTTAGACTCATCAACGTCGAGCAATTCTAGTTCCTTAGCAAACAACAAATAAGATTAGTGAATCTCACTATTCCAATTGGGGAGTTGTTAGATAAGGTAGCTATTAACTTTCACTGCAGAACTCACTAAGTCCACTAGGTATTCTATCACTGGTTAGTGATTCTACGTGACATTGATGATGTGGTGTCACCGTTATGGTATCGGGCTACCTGTTACACTTAATCTCTGAGTTCTTCTCGAATCGGTCTTGACTTGGTGAAACAACAGTTGAAATGGCAAGACATAACCGATTCAGTCGAGTCTTCAAGGAATCATTGATATTGCAAAAAACAAACCAAAGCCTAAAAACAAAAAAGTAGAAGACTAGAAAGATGAAGAAAATGCTAAGAAACATACAAGATCCAAATACCCAATTGAAATTTTGTATAAAAAAAAATAAAAGAAATTGTAACATATCTTCAAAATCGAAAGAGTTGCAACTCTGTTAAGCTCCCACTTTGTTGTCCTTCTCAAGATTCTTCTTCATATAGTCGCCGAATTGAGAGTCTTGTTCGTTGTTGTCTAGTTGCTGCAGAGGGTGTCCCGTCTTTTGCTTTTTGGGTTTGTCTCGGTGTCTCTTCTGTCATTCTTTATTTCTGACTAGGGCTGTTGAATGTTCCGAAAAACTCGCGAACGGTTTGGGCTCGCCTCAATGTTAACTCTAGCTTGGGCTCGCTCATTTAGTAAAATGAGTCAAATCTACACAAAATATTATTGGGCTTGTTTTTAAATTGAGCTACCCGCGAGCCTAACCAGGCCCCTTTTTTTGCACCTCTTAATATCTAAAGACTCCACTAGTCCACCCTTACTTACACATGTTGTACTTCAATTTAATTTTTCTTTTTTTCCCAAAAAATTCACAGCCACAAACCACTCCCAAGACACATATTTAACCTAATCTTCTCTGCCAAAAGATTTAAAACCCTCACTCTCCGTACGAAATATAGCAGAAGAACACTCTTCGTCGTCTTTGACTCTTCGAGTTCAAGTCAGCCACTTCATCCCTTCCACAGTTCCATGGACCACCTGTAGCTATCATCCACGAAGGCATGGACCACCTTCGGCTCTTCCACTGACCATAATTCTCCCATTCTTTCTCGTGTAGTACTTAAAAACCTAACCAATGATTCCCCTTTGAATCCCTAACCTCTGAAACGGTAAAACCTTAACCTTTGAAGCCCTCTGCAACCCCAATCTTTTTATTCATCTCTCCGATTATTTCTATATAGTTGGTGATACATGTAAGTGAGAGTAATTTTTATAAAATTTATTAATTATTTTCTTTAATTTAGTTGAGAGTATTACATTAGGCTATGTAGCAAAACACTATACTTTTTTCTCTAATTATCATAAACCCTAATTTATAAACTATTAGATATATTTTTGTAATTAACTAATTTTGTAGAGTCCATTGTAAATCTCAACCTATTCTATGGTCATGATATTATAAAGATTGAAGATCCGAAAACATCATTGAAGGAAGGAGATCAAACGTCAAAGCTACATTATTCACATTCCAATTGCATCCTCAAGCTTAGGACAAAGGTAATAACCTAGATACCTAAGAAGCACGGACATGGATATGACACGACACAGACACACCAACACAAAATTTTTCAAAAAAGTAGGATACAGACATGTTAGCGATACGTTAAATAATATGTATTTTATATATATATATACATATATATATATATAATCATGTGATAAAATAAAAATATTATCAAAATAATCTTTTAATTCATCATTTCTCTAATTCTAAAAATTCACATCATGATATCACTGTATAAAAAGTACAATATAAGATATACTGATACACATTCCACAATAACATTCATGATTCAATAATCAATAACTTCAACAATTTTTACTTTAAAAATATTCCATTTCGTAATACTAATTTTCATCAAATTTCAAGAGCTCCAATTTTGTAATCCAATTTTTTCTCACATTACTTTCATATTAAAAGACTATTCCATTTGTATATAAGTTCGTATTTGTATCCAAAATTATGTTAAATTCATTTCCTATATTTAATGTAATGATTATAACTTCTTTTATATTATGATTGTGACTCATATCCCTTTAAAATTATTAAAATAACTCTTAATTATAAAATTATCTAAAAAATTCTCAAAAAATTAAAAATAAATCTCAAAATGTGTCCCTCAGTGTGTCCCAACATATCTTGAATGTGTCAGCCGCTATTCCCCAACGTGTTTGAAACTTGTCCTAAAAAAAATTTAACAATAAAAAAATCAGGCACTCATTTTAACGTATTCGAGTGTGTCCGTGACCCAAACATGTCCGACACCAACACTCTGTCCAAAATGAAGTGTCTGTGCTTCCTAGATAGATATCTAAAATAATCCCTTGGTCAATAAACTTAGGAGGATTAGAGTTAAAATAGATTTAAGGATTAATCCGTATATCCTGGTTGATTTTAAATGAAAAGATTTTCTGATTTGAAAAACATAGTTTGAGTCATTAGTGGACCCCTCTTGAGCAACATCTTTTAGTACTTAAGAAAACAAGTTTTTTGCTTGGCTTTAGGCTTGAAAAACCAATAGGGGCCGTCCTATGCTCACTAGCCTTCGCTAGATCGGTCTCTTTATGACATAAAAAAGAAAAAGGGAAAAAGATCACGAAAAGAGAAATGAGCTCGCTCCAATGGTCTCATGGTCGCTCTAGCAGTCTGCTCTCCTTGACCAGGATTGAAATGCAATTTTTATTTTTGTGACCACCGCCCTCCCACTAATCGAGTTTTCATTCGAAAATCTGAGTTTTTTTGTTGACTAAAATTACACTTATTCCGAAACTATAAATTAGGAGTCTTTTCTTCACCTAAGGGAATTCTCTTGTAAGCCTATTAAGAGTAAAAACTAATCTTCTACCTAGAGAGCTCCAACCACAATCTCAGATCCCAAAAACCCAAGGCTACCTTCTATAGATTCTACCCAACTTCACAACATGGAGTGAAGATCTTGAATGGTGTAAACCAATCCCATTGGTGTGTACATACGGGTGATCATTGGTGTGCCCATGATTGCTCAAGGCCTAGAAAATCCTTTGCGGAGGTGAATCCAAGCTACACAAATCGTCAAATGAGGGCCTTTAGCAAAGAGACATATTGAAGGAATGTGTATCTAACCATGGCATTGGTTGAGATATAAAACTCGAGTCATTGTATGTTGACTTTGAGAGTAATGGATGAGGTTTTGATGAACCCCGACCGGTTTCCCACGATTTTTCCTGAAGAGGGTTTTTCGCGTCAACAAATTACTTATATTCTTTATTACTTATGCTTACACACTTGTAATTATTTGCACACACGCACACTATGTGTTTGTATGAATGACTGATTGACATCTTTTCATCCATAGTTGAGTTTAGGTTTTGGATCTCCGTAAGACTGAGTGTTTGAGTAAATTAATTGAATATTAATTAACATCAATTTTCATGGATATAAGGGGTCGTGGTAATTAAAAGGAGTTCTTACACTAGATTGTTATATCTTTTTGTAAAGAGGTAATTAAGGTAGAGTTAGGTTTTAATTTGTAATCGATTGTGCTTAAAATCGAAAAACCTATTCATCCCCTCTGAATAGTGTCGTGCGCCAGATGTGTATAATTGTGAGAAAAAATCCAATTTGTTTCTCCCCCCTCCTGGAACAACATAAACTATTTTCTCTAATGTAGCAAAATAGTTGCATAAGGATGTTTGATAATTGTAGCACAGCACACCTCAATATTATAAAATTCTCTAGGTGAGCGTGATACATGGGATAATTGTAGCAAAACACACCCCAATATTTGTTTTCATTTATTAGGATGTTTGATAATTGCTTGAATGGAGGAGTCTTGTTAGTTGTTAGAATCCTGTTGAATGCAGAGGTATTTTTAAATTGCTTGTATTCGAATCTGAGCCTACACTCGAGGTTAAGCTCGAATTTGGGCTTATTGGAAAAAAAGGAGCTTGAAAGAGCCAAGGTTAGGCTTGATATTTTTCTTTTGAGCCGAGCTTGAGCTTAATTTCACGAGCCAAGCCTAAGCAAAGTGAAACTCGCTAGGCTCGACTCCATTATCACCCCTATTGCTAACGTCTACAGATGATTAGGCAGGCTGGGCGGGCCTATAGCAACATTTCTTATTCTAAATTTTTTTTTCATATAGGCCTAGACGGTGGCCTGAGATATTCTTATATTTCCTCCTCTTTTCTTCTTTTTACTTCTTTATTAGTTTAAGAGACTAATATTATAATACTGGCTCCCAAAAGTTATACTACAGTTTATTTATTAAATTAATTTAAATGACTAATATAATAAAATATGTTCACAAAAATTACACTAAGGTCTATTTAATGCATATGTTTAACACCAATGAGGATAAATATTCTCGATAGCACCTTTATATTTAATTTTCACTATATTTAATGTGTTAGATGATATATTTTGGACATATAATGCATGAATTTTGTTGTCTATATGATTTAGAATTTTTTCTAATTTTTTTAGAATTTTTCAGGACTTATTATCTAGTATTTCATGCACATCAGCCGATACCATTCCCTGACGCCACAACTAACGTGTTTCAATGCTTTCCAAATTGATAACTGATATCATGACTTCGAACCATGGTAAAAGATATAGAATTGGATTGCAGAATAGATGCCAGATTGGGTTGAGTTTAATGGGCGGCCTTTCCTTTTATGAGTTAGGGATATGGGTAATCTGGGCTCAGAGGCTGGTTGATTTTTCGAATATTGGGGGGTCTGCAGAATTTCTTCTTTGGGCCGAACAAGGTTTTGGATTTGATTAAAGCCAGCTTTAAAAGCCAGTATTAGAGTGAGAAACCCTAAATCTTGCAAAACAAATGCAACCAAACTACCAACAATGATGGACGGCATGTTGACTGTGACGGTGAAAGATGAATGGTAGCAGTGGCACGGTGATGATGACAACAATCAACAACGGCAATGAATCTGAGATTGATAGCATTACAAGATTTGGATTCAAGATTAGGCTCTAATACCAAATTGACGCAGGGAGAGAAGGAAAAGAAAGGGGATAACCAAATCCTCGCAAGGATTAGTTCAAGAAACAAAAACTTCTGCAAAGAAATTAATCAATTCATATTCATAAATCTAATTCAAATAAGTAGCATCACACCATTATTTATACGACAAATGTCTTATCCAACTAAAAGTATTCTCTAACTAAATCTCTAATATAATTTTAGAGCATCCAACCCAAAACTAGTTGAAAACGGGTAGAAAATTCTCTCAACTATATAGATCAACTTTAGATGGTCCTATGCTTTAGATGTAGGATACAAACCCTCTTCACATCCAAAAGTGCGATTTAGGGTTTTATGTGGACTAAAAACAAATCAAAAACAAACTGCATACCACTCACAAAATAGATAGATCGCTACTAACAGCCAAAAACAAAAGAAACTGTACCTAAGGTGGGATACTTAGCCTACTAACCGCCCGATGCTCTCTTCTAATACTAAGTTAATTTTCACACAAAGATATGGACGAGAGAGAACGACGACAAAGGACACAAACATATAATGTGGTCTAGTCCTAAGAGCTACATATACGATATCCAAAACCCCAACTGATCATATTTTTATTATTCTAAGTTTATTATATACATGAGTCATATCTATATTTACAGGATGAAGAAAGCATTGGAGAAAGAAAGAATTAATCAACTAATTACGATTGATTGAGCATCTAGCCCCATAACTGTTATGGAATGTCTCAAATTATCATTATGATTTATTGTTAAACCATTCAACCCAAAACCAATCGATAATAAGCGGAGAAATCAACAAAACTCATAAACTAATTTAGAAGATTTTTATTATATCGATGTGGGACAAGCTCCAATACTCTCCAGCATGTGGAGAGGTAAATAAAATATCCAAAAGATTGAATCAAAAAATAATGAAGTACAATATGACATGAATAAAAAGGGATTCAACCAAAAGATAGAATCAAAGTATAATATGAGGTTCACTATGACGTAAACAAAGAGGGATTCCATGATTCTAAACTAGAGAGTATTGCTCAAAACATTCCGGAA